AGTAGGAGGGAGGGGGGACACCTCAGAGGAGGTCATCGCATGGACCTCAAAATCTTACCCGAATCTGGCTTTGTGCATTCTCAACCTCTGCGATCCTCAAAGCCCTATGGAGCAAGCCCTCTCTATATATGAGGAAACTGAGGCACAAGGGACTTAAGATTTGCCCAACGAACACTGAATGTCCATGGTGGGAATGAGGTCTGTGTCCAGCATGAGCAGGGATGGGGCAGGGGAGGACAGGGCATCCCATCCTTCAACTCAGGCTTGTATCTTCCCTTGTGTTTTGCCCAGAGAATGCATGTCTTCCAGAAAAATGCTAGTTCTAGAAGCTGCTGCCTAAAGACTGAAGGGTGGTTAGTGGGGCTGGGGCCTGTCCCAGAGGCCTGTGGTTCCAGGTCACTTCCTTTTAGTGGTTGTAGGACCTGCATGACCTCCCCCCCTCCCCTCACCTCCCAGACTGTCTCTATTTCAGATCTTAAATCCCTTCTGTTCTGCCCCATGGCTGTTTCAGGGCCATGCTTCGTACTCAGACAGCCCACCCATTCCTCTGCCTCATACCTTGTTTCGGAGTAAGACCACCTGACTGTATTCCGCCCAATGCTGCTGCTTCCCGTGGCAGCCGGGAGCTCTGGGCTCTCAGATGCGGAGCTGCTAGGCTGGCTCCACAGACCAGCAGCTGCTGGGCCTGCCAGCAGCCCCCAGGACTAGCCTGGGCCGGCCTGCTGGCATCTCCTTCCTGCACCCTACATTTAGCATTCTCTTGCTGTCTCTGCAAAGGGGACTTCACGGTAGTTTCTTTCTCTCCATTCTACATTCGTGGAGACATTTCCAGCCTTTTACAGGGGGAGGGGAGGTGGGGAGGGCAAGAGATCGTCCCCTTCCTCTCCCAGGATGCCTCGGCCTCCCTAGAAAGAGGATGAATTCATTTTGTAATGAAGCCACGGTAGGCTTGGTCACCGAGTGGCTCTCCTCACTGGAATTTGCAGATCTAAAAAGAGCAGGGCTGCGTTGTCCCATGCCTGCCTCCCCGTCGTCAGAGCCATGGCCCAGGTGGAGGGCTGAGGGACAAAGTGTGTGCATCGCCCGAGTGTCTGCCCTCAGTCCTGTGCAGACAGTCTCAGCCCCCTTCACAGACTGGCCCTGCATTTAGCCCCATTCCACTTGGATGACGCAGGGCCTGGAGAGTGGCAGTGGACAGGACGGGTCCTGCTTTGGCCACGTGAGCTGCCTGCCCTGACCGGAAAGAGGGCTTCATTCCCATCAGATGCACAGAAAATAACCTCTTGCTCTCATCAGTTTCTATTTCAAGCAGTTGCAGACGAGGCGGTTTCGGAGGCAGTGCAAAGGGCTCAGATAGTGGGGTTGGGCCTGAGTGTGGGCTGTGGGGGAGCCGGTCATGGGCTGAACCTCGAGTGGAAGGGCTGGGGAGGGGGGAGCAACGGGAGGGGTGGCTCGGGCAGCCGCTCCAGGCAGGGAGAAGGTGACCTTGGGAGGCCTGGCTTTCTGCCATGTGCTCCCAGGGAAGTCACTCCCCATTTCCACTTCGCCCTGGTTTCCCTCTCTGCAGAATGGGGTGCTGGGCCCAGCTCCCGAGGAAGTCCCCTCTGTGTGTGTGTGCACATATATACGCACGCTATATAGGTACAGGTGTAGACAGGCTCTGAGTGGGGGAAGAGTAGGTGTGCCCTGGGACACGCTCACTTTTATGTGGTATGGGGAAACAGGGAACTTGCCAGACATGGGACCACAGGAGATCAGAGATGGAGAGTGGCCTTCTGATTGTGGAAACAGAACCCAGAGAGGACAGGGGTCTGGTTCACAGCTCTGGTCATCTGGCCACTGCTGCCCCCTGAGATTAACAGTGGCTCTGATTTTAAAGGGTCAAGTCCAAGGTCCCTCCCTGCACCTGCTTGGGAGGGAGTCTGTCAGCTTTCTGGGCAGCAGGGGACACGGGGGCCCCTTGAGGGAAGGAAGTGTTTGTTGGTAAGGTATTGTCCTCATCGTGTGGTGGGGGGTACCCCGTGTTACAGTTAATAAACACAGTTACTTAAGTGGTCGTGTTTCACCACACAAGAGTCCCAGAGAGCCATGCCAGCCTCTTGCCCGTTCACTTGACAGAGGGAAACTGAGGGTCAGAGAACTTAGGTTGCTTTAAAAAGAAGAGGAATTGAGACTACAGCTTAACACGTTAGCATGGTGCAAACTTTAGTTCACGAAAGGATAACTTTTCGATGCTTACAGTTGTCCAAGGGAGCAAGGGCCTGCTTTGTGAAGCGGCGAGTTCCTTACCCCATGGGGTTATGTGAACAGGCTTGGCTCTCTGCTCGCCGTGGCTACTGTGGTGGGTGTTCACCCCTTCGACGATGCTAGAGGAGCTGGCCGGGGTCTGAGACCTGGGGCTGGTGGGAAGCTAGGTGTGAGGAGGTGGGGGCATGCATACCTGCGTTTCTCGTTCCAGGCGTTGTACCACTTGATGAACCGCTTGGTGCTCTGCAGCTTGGGGTGCAGGCAGTGCTCCTGACCCCGGTACCTGGACACGCTCTTGGTGGTGATGCTGAAACGGAGCAGCGTGGGGTGCAGGATTGAGGAGGCTGAATGGCAGCCCCTCAGTGTGGCCTGTGGGCCGCCCTGGTCTGTCCCAGTCAGGGAGGGCCCTGAAAGAATGTGGCCTCCTCCCTCCTGTCAGGGGAACGCGCCCTGGTGCTCACTGCCTGGCTGCCTCTTTGGAAGGTTCTGGGTGTCCCCTTAGTCTCCGATTTCACATACAGTTTAACCCTGTATGGAGTGATTGGCTCTCACTTCTCCCCTGGAGTTCTTAGGGTCTGGGATAGTATCCCCTCCCCCACAAGGCTGTTGCCTACAGGGCTCATGCCTCCCTTGGAGAACAAAGCTCTGGGGACTCTTCCAGCTCCTCTAAACCTAGGATTGGAGAGGTGGAGAGAGCTAATATCAGCAAGGGGCACACGCCGAGACCCCTTTCCTTGGGTACAAGGAACTTGCTCGCGGCAGGGCTCAGACATGCCCTGCACATGTGGTCTCTGTCTGACCCTTCAAACCCCAGCGCCCCTTGATCCTCTGAAATCTGTCCCGGGGCTGGGACATGACGGATCCTGAAGTTAAGTCTTGCTGGCCTTGCAGCCCATTTTGATTCCTGAGCCTGAAGTCCCACTTGTCTCAGCCCCCAGCAAGAAAATAAGACCTCCTCCCCTCAGGCCTCTGTCAGCCCATGTGCCAAACCGAGTGGAGGCCCTAGCCGTGCGGCAGAAAAGCAGGTGGCACTGTACAGAGTGTAGGGCCTGGGTGTGAATCCCAGCTCTTTCTGTAGGACCTTGGGTAATTTCTCTTAACCAGTTTGCCCATCTGTAAAATGGGTTTAATAATAGGACCTACCTCTTAAGATTATCGGGTAATGAAAGGGTATAATGTATGCAGAGTGCCTAGCACCTGGTAGACGCAACGTGGAGAATTCCTGTCATTAGTAATTGTCTTGGAAGATGAGATGGCCAAGGAGAAAGAGAAGCCTTAGTGTGTGAGCTCCAGCCTGGGCGGGGAAAGCAGGACTGCTGCCCAGGACTGCCATGCCCCTCTCACCCTGGGCTGGGCCAGGGTGGCAGGATTTTAGGAGGAAGCTTCTGGGTAGGGGAGGAAGGATGGTGTTCCAGAACAAAGGACCACCTAGGGGATGTGGAAAAGTGGAAGGTGAGAGGGAGTGGTCATGGCACAAACAGATGATGGTGGGCTGGGGAATGAGCTGAGGGGGCAAAGAGGGGCAGTTGGAGGCTGGATTGGGAAGAGAAAGAAGGGAGGGAGAGAGGGCAGTTAGGGCCCTGCAGGTTCCCAAAGGTAAAGTGTCAGGGCACATGGGCCAAGTTCTAGATGGGAGCAGGGCCACCAGAAACTGAGTCTCCCTGTTGACAGGGAGAGAAAAACCGAATCTTGCCACCAGAATGGGGGCAGAATATTTCTGGGCAACTTGTTCTCTTCCCTTCTCTGTGCTCAGAGTTTCCAAGGTCCCCCATTGCAGCCTAAGCTTCCTAGAGCAGGGGTGGCTCTTCTGCTAAATGCTGTGGACTGGGCTCTGCCTTCACTGGCCCTCTGAGACCAGTCGCTCCCCGGGTCCTGTCCCTCCTGCTAGGTCTTCAAGCATGGGGCCAGGCTTCCCAGTGCAGTCTGCCTGTTCTCCTCTCCATAGTACTCGGTCACTCTGCGGGAATTTAACCCACTGCTCTCTCTGCCTACAGTGCTGCTTTTGCACTTGAAGTGAAGGGATGTGGGCAAGCCTGATGAAGATGCCCTCCTCAGTTAGGTCACTGTGCAGGCTGGGGATTCCCAATTCTGAAGGTCGGGGCAGCAGGGAAGACACTCAGCCCTCCCACCACAGTCCTTGAGTGCTTGTCACAACACTGGGACTATGAAAATTGGTTGTGGGGTGAAGACATGACAATTTATATTCCCAGCAGTTGCTCAGAAATTCTGGGTCCTGTGTCCCCTCTCCTCAGTGGTTCTGGGGTGCTGAGGGTTCGGGCAAGAGTTCATAGGGCACAAATGGCCCTTTATAATATCTGGAGTCACTCCCACTTGCAAAGCACACTGGCCTCCCCACCCCACCCCCAGCCTCATCAGAGATTTCTGGGTGACTCAGGGTGAACTGGAAAACTTGCTTTTGTTCAGCGTTTGTGGCTGAAAACCTGCTTTGGCAAAAAGTGCTGGCCCTGCATCTGATCTAGAGACTCTTAGGAGCTTGAGACAGGAGAGGATGTTCAGCCCTTCAGTGCTATGGGCGGGGCAGGGTGTGGGTGAAGGTTTAGGAAGGAGACTGGTGACTGTGTTTGGACCTCCCGAGGCCCCTGCCAGTTTTCACAAGGTTGCGTAAAGCCTTCTCGCACCTGCCTGCTGTCAGTTTCCTCTCTATTCTGAAAAAATTTAGTCGGGAGAAAGAGTAAACCTGTTTATTGAGGGTCCTTTAGAGAAGTCTCTGCACCCCATACCCTGCTTCTCTTTCTCTGCAAGGTCTTGGCACCTGGCCATGGGGTGTGGGGTGGTTCTCAGTACTTAGAGGAGTGCAAACTTAATTTGCTACGTCCCTGTCATCTTCAACCCCCAAGCTGGAAACCATGAAGGACTTGTAGCTCCTCCTTTAGCTTGTGGGAACACTAGCCCCCACCAAAAAAAGATTTTCCGGCAGTTCTTCTGGACTTGCGTCTACTAGGCAAGGGACAGGGGTTGATTTATGTGCCTGGGTAGAAAGGCAGTGGGGTTCGGCTTAAGCCTGGTGGCTTTGCAAATTCCCCTAACTTCAGCCTGACTGTGCAGCCCCCAGGTGGCAGTGTGTGGGGGGAGGTGGGCTGCCTTTGCATACACTGTGCGGAGGCCTTGGGACCATCGGGGCCAGCGGATAGAAGGCCCTTGCCCAGACTGAGAATAAAGTGTGTCCTGTTTCTGGGGGAGGGGAAGAGGGGCCAATGGTCCGTGGCAGACCACGGTAGCTGCTTTGCCAAGGGCTTCCTTCCTGGCCAAGTGCATACTGATGGGGAAACAGTGGTGCTGGACTCAAGTGGTTAATTGGGAAGGCAGAGGAGCAAGGAAACTCCATGTTCTCTCACTCTGTCCCAGTTTTAAAAATATTCTTTGCATCCCCACCAAGCAGGGCTCCAGCCGCATGGCACGTTAACCCCAGCAGATCACTTTGCCCAGCACTGCTCAGGCTCAGGCACCCACAAGAGTCCAGCCAGTGGTGGAGGATCAAGGATCAGTCTCAACATGAAATCGCTAGCAGCCAAAACAGCTGGCTGTGGTCCCCTGGTAGGGAAAAGGCTCTGAAAGGAGGGTTGGGTCTGAGGACTTAAAGAGCATTTGTTTTAATTCTCTCTCCAGCAACAGGAAGGCAACATGCGTCCCAGTTTGGGTGCAAGTTCAATAGTTCTGGGTGAGTTTGGAGCGCTTTCAATCCCGATGCTCTAAAGTTGGCACGACCAGAGCCATTTAACCCTTGATCACCCCAGAATGGTGGGCAGTGCAAGCACCTAGGCTACCCATTTGAATCTTAGCAAGGGTGAACACCCAGAGGCTGTTTCCAGAGAACAGGGCAGTTGTCCCTCTTTCCAAACTCTTTCAGACTGTCATGCCAGCGTCCTAGGGACTTGCTGGGCAATTACAAAGCCTCCTCCAAGGCCTTGCCAAAGGCACAGAGGAATGTCTGTTAGCCCCACCGACCCAGCCCCATGCTGTGCCCCAGCACCGGGTTAAGAGCAGCCCGCACACACGCTCACGGTGAGGAGCCAGAACTCACATAACCATCTTCTCCTCGCAGTGCGGGTACTTTGGCTTCATTTCCAGCTTCTTCACGTCGCTGTATCGAATCTTGGGCCCCTTTCGGGAGCATTTACATTTGGACCCTGGGAGAGAGAACGACGGGTATCATTCAGCTGCGTGTGCGGTCTCCTGCCCCCCCACCGCCCTAGGTGCCCACCCAGGACCTCGGGGGTCCCTGGAAGCCCAGCAGTTGGCGCCCAGGTGCCCCAGGACGGGACGGGACGGCGACAAGAGACCTCCTGGGCACTCACCGTCCACGCGTGCGGCGCACAGCGCCAGGAGCAGCAGGAGTAGCGCGGCGGACAGGAGCCTCATGCTGGCCGGAGGGGCGCGGCGCGGGAGCAGGGACTGGGGAGGGCGCCCGGCCGGCCGGCTCAGCTCTCTCTGCTCGGAGCGCGCCTCCGGCTCTGCTCCGCTCGCTCCCGCTGCGCCCGTCGGTGGGTGCCTGGTGCCGGCTGCGTTCCGCTCTCGGCTCCGCGCTGTCTCCGCAGCCTCCCTCCGCCCGCCCAGGCCTCTTTTAAATCCGCTCCTGCCCTCGCGGCAGCGAGCTCATTAATATGCAGAACCACTCGGTGACTCACTGAGATTTCTCAACGAGGTGGGGGGAGGAGACCTTCCCCGCCCCGGGACCGCGATCTCCGCGGCGCACACTGGGAGCCACGCGCGCACACACCCATTCATACCCGCTGCCCTCTTGCTTCTATACACACTTGCACACCCAGACTCCAGCCCGCGCACACCGCCAGTGCCCCGGCGGTACCGGCTGTTCCGTCACTTTAGAGGCTGCTTAAGGGCGCTGCTTTTCTGAATCGCATGGTTCCCTCTGGCCAGACAAGCATGCTGTCCTGAGCTGCTGAGAGACCCAGGCCCGCGGCCCAGATCTTCTGAGAACTGAAAGAGTTTTGGAACAGGTGCCAGGTGTGAGTGCCAGGAGGCCTGACTCCTAGGGCGTGAGTTGTCCCTGTTGGGCCAGCAGCCTTGGTGGCCAGAGCACAAGGCCAGGTCTGGAGGGAGGTTGCCATAGGTTGTACAGGAGCAAAGTCATTGCCTGTGGTCACTGCGGCTGGCTCAAAGGATGCGCCCGAGGGATTTTTGGTCACTCTGAGAGGAAGACTTCCTAAAGTTGGTACATGGCTGTGTGAGCTGCCTGCGGAGTGCTGAGAACCAGCCAGGGGTTCCTTGCTGTCGTACCATTCTCTAAAGGCTCTGCCCAGCAGGGACACATGGCAGTGGTAACCATTTGGACAAAGTTCATGTTCCAGACATATGCCAGGCTCTGTGGCGTAGTGTTGTGGGCCAAGGCAGGGCAACAGAGATTCCTGCTGCATCACTTACCAGTGCAAGTGACCTCACTACTCTGAGCCTTCATTGTGCCTTCTGTAAAGCAGGAGTGTCACAGTGCATGTCACAGGGTGGCTGTGAGAGGTGTGGAAGATCAGACGTGTAAAGTGTCCGACAGAATGCCCGACCCATAGTTGGTGCCCAGGAAATCTTACCTATCGATATCATTATAGTATGTATTTTAACCTATGTTATTTTGATTCTTATAAATCATTTTCCAAGTTGGTGTTTTCATTCTTTTTTTGACAGGCATGGGAACAGGTTTAGAGAGAAAAAATAACTGGTCTAAGATCACAGAGCCAGGTGGCTAGGTCAGGAGGGGCTGGAGAATTGGGGCTCCAGCCTCTGGGCTACCCTGCCTCCCTCAGGCACTTGGGGAAGTGCTTCCTTCTTAGACCCAGCAACAGGGGATGGAGTATCTCGGGCTCCAAGGGTCCCTGGGCTTGGCTCCCAGGCCAGAGCTGAAGCCAGGGCAGAAACTGCCAGGTTCTTCCAGCTCACACAGCTCTGTGCTGTCAGCCCAGCAACTCCCTGGGGGTGCAAGTACCCAAAGGGGGTCCTGGGAGGATGGGGAGGGCAGGCTGCTGGGGACAAAGTGGAAAATTGTACCGTCTCTTCCCAGTTTGAGCTCCTTGGCTACCTGGAGGGGATGCTGAGCCATGAAGGGCCAGCAGAGCTTATGAGCTGGCTTCAGGCCATGTCCTGAGTCCTGTGCATGCAGTTGGATTTGTACTTGAAGCAAGGCGAACCGCTGGACATGTGGGTTTATCTAGAAGATGAGACCAAGGGAGTGATTTGGGGCAATAGCATTACTTTTCAAAATGTTTAGTCTTTCAAAAAAAATTTTGGTACAAAACCAAAATGTTACAGAAAAATCAGAAAACACAAGCAGAGGAAAACATAAAAGAACACACTTGCACCCACTCAGAGGTCTACACCAAAATGCTAACAGTGTTATCTTTCCCAGCACTTTTGTGTTTGCTTGCATGCATGTGCACAGGTGTGATCAGTGTGTGTGTCCTGTTTGAAAACCCATTTGTTTTACCTGTCTCTGTATCGTCAACATTCTCCCATATGACGGGTTTTGCTTCTACAGTCTCTCTTTAATGGCATCATATATGGTCACCTAGCATTGTGGCTGAGAGCTCAGTGTCTCCATGTCAGACTGCCTGGGTGTGAGTCCTACTACCAGCTCTGTGACCTGGGGCAAATGACTTCACTCTTTTCAATGCTGATTTTCTAACCTGTGAGGTTGTGATGATAATGGGACCTATGGCAGAAGGAGAATTAAATGAGATGGTGCATGAAAAGCTTTTCATGTGGTCCCTATAACAGAGTAAGTGCTCAGTAAGTGCTATGGATTGTTGCCATTATTTTGGGTGCAGCCCGGTCCACTGTACAGATGTACTGTAATTACTTTAAGTAATTATTCTTTGCTAAATGTTTAGATTGTCTTCAACCATGTTCTCTCAGTGGCGTGTGACATATACTCTTGTAGCTCAATTTTGGGGCAGCACTTTATTTTTTTTTATTTATTTTTTCAACGTTTATTTATTTTTTTGGGGACAGAGAGAGACAGAGCATGAACGGGGGAGGGGCAGAGAGAGAGGGAGACACAGAATCGGAAACAGGCTCCAGGCTCCGAGCCATCAGCCCAGAGCCCGACGCGGGGCTCAAACTCACGGACCGCGAGATCGTGACCTGGCTGAAGTCGGACGCTCAACCGATTGCGCCACCCAGGCGCCCCTGGGGCAGCACTTTAAAAATTGATCGTGTCTCAGAATCACTGGGCCATTGGGGCATGCTCATCTAAGGCTTTTAATACAAATTTCGCTTCAAAAAATATAATCCATTTTATTTTTCACAAGGAATTTCTTACCTGCCAAGGTTTCTCAGAGCATGTGACATAGATTTTTAAATTAACAATGCTGATTAGGTAAGTGGGATCTGACAGCATCAGGGATCATGGGCACCGAGCTTTTGTAGGAAAAACTAGTTGGCCCTAAACATACGGACCAGTTTCCCAACTTCCAGGGCCAGACTAGAGGTCAGACCACCCATTGTTTTGCCCCCAGTTGTACTCCGTAGACTAGTAGACTACGTATGCTCATCTTTTGTTTGCAAAATACAGCCATGTGTTTTTGCAAGCACAGCTCACTCCTGTTTGTGTGAGTTCTTCGGGGGGCCATGGGTAGAGGAGAGGATGGGGGCCTCCTGCTGCCAGCCTGTCTGTGGATGATGCTGCTCAACTGGGAGAGAGAGGGGGGTGTTGACCTTTGACTTGCCTTTTGGGTGCAGACTCTCCCAAACTCATGTGGGGGTCTTTGAGCAGGTGGAGGAGGCAGGGTGAGGTGGATAAGGGTGAGGCAGTTCTGTGCACAGTGGCCCTAATTCTGGGGTGATCCCTGGGGTGTGATGAAGGACCACACACACATTCTGCCCTTTGGGGCATAGTCTGGTGTGTGTGTGTGTGTGTGTATGTGTGTGTGTGTGTGTGTGTGTGTGTGTAGGTGCCTGCAGCTATTTATGGTCAGGCTGGCTTCTGTGGAAGGGGTACATGCAACGTGTGGGGGACACAGAGGTGGGAGGAAATAGAAGCAGGAAACCATTCCTTGAGGGAGTGGAAAATTGGCTGACCCTAGGGATTTCCATATTTATTCTGTTCACAGTGATTGAGCACCCACTGTGTTCCAGGCTCTGTGCAAGGTGCTGGGGATAAGGTGAACAGAGGAGGGATGCGCCTGTCCCCAAGGGGTTCAGAGTGTAGTGGGGAAGATGGACGTTAATCAGACAACCAGAAATGCACCTGAAATTGCTGCAGAGCTAGATGTGATGAAGGGAAGCTGATGCTATGGGCCTCACCAGGGGATCTGACCAGGTGGGGAGGTGGGGATGGCTTCCCAGAGGAAATGTCCACCGGGCTGCAGTCTGAAGGATAAGGAGGAGTTAACCAGGTGGTAATGGCAGGGGACCATTCCTGCCCCCTTGTAGTCTGTGCTCCTCACACAGTGATCTCCTGTAGGTAAACCCCTGCTTAATGCCCAACTGGCTCCTGATTTCACCCAGAGTCCAAGCCAGTCCCTGCCAGTGCCCCGTCCCCTCGTGACCATCCGCCATTCTCCCCTTGGCCATGCTCTACCACAGTGCCTTGTCTTCTCTGTCAGACATGCCGAGCCTGGCCCCATCTTGGGATCTTGTGCTTGCTGACCCCTCTGCCCAAACTACTGTTCCCCACGTGTTGGCAGGTGGCTCCTCGGTACAGAAGTCTCAGCCGGAATAGTCACTCTTCAGAGTCAGTCACACCAGCACTCTCACAGTCACTCTCTATGCCACGGTATATTTTACTTTTTACATTGTATGTGCAACAACCTCACACTGTACTATGTTCAGTTCATTTGGGAGTGTGTTGTGGGTCATCTTCTGGTCTGCTGGTTCCATGAAGGTAGAGTCTCTGTCTTTCTTGCTCATCCTCAGTAAATCTAGGCTGTGTAGACTACAAGGTCGGGGTCGGGGGGTGGGGGGGAAGAGTGTGTGTGTGTGTGTGTTTATGTGTTTGCGAAGGGAGTGGGTAAGGGTGGCCATTAGCAAGGCCACGTTCTGAGGAAGGCCAGTTCTTCCCAGTGCATTTGCTTCAGAAAAGTGTTTGCCGGAGGGAGGAGGAGGTGACTGAGCAGGAGTGTGGGATTCCAGGAAACCCCACAGGTGTCAGGGCACCACCTCATAGATCCGCTGAGCAGGTAGATCCTAAGTGGTCAAGGCTGGTTTCCTGTCCAGGGAGCGGAGAGACAACACTTCCTGTGGTGAGATCAGTGTGCCTTTCTCTGAGTGTCGCCCCCACCCTGTGGGACCCTGGGCAACCAGTTGCCTCCTCTTTGCTGGCTCTCTTTTAGCACAGTTCTGCATAGTGACCCCCCCTCCCCAGGGCCTCATTCTGAGGGAGAGGGGGATGCAGGCTGAGGTTTCCTGAGGACAACTCTTGGTTTTATTCTTTATACTTGGAATGGTTAGGGCAGCTGAGCAATTAAGCCTACAGGAAATGGTTCAGGGGGTAGCCAGGCAGTGTTGAATTAGGCCTCAGGCAGCCTTGTGGAGCAGAGGGGCCCTGACTCCAGTGGGTAACTGAGAGTGTTGTGTGTTCCCCC